CACAGGTGGACGATGAACGGCCCCTCTCAAAGGAAATAAAAGAGGAGTGAAAGGGGAGTGGAGTTTGCAGGAGACAATTAGTTCGCTTCATTGGTTCGTGACTCTCCGAGGCTCCTTGCCAAGTTTTGCAGATATCACCCTGGCAGCTCTCCAAGCCAGATAAGGTCTGTGACTGTAAATCATCCCTCAAAAGACTTTGCTGGATCTGAATGAGCAGAATTCACAGCAAATTAATAAAAGGGTTTTTTGTTGGGACCGGGAGTTCACTTCATGCTCTCGGGAAGCCTCAGTCAGAACACCCAGTTGTTAAGTGAATCTGCCTTCCCCCATTGACTTTGCTTGTCAGAAGGTCGCAAAAGGGGATCCCGTGACTCCCCCCCCCCAATCTAAGTTATGATGCTGTTCACATAATGTGCCAACACGAGGCCTGGAATCCCGCAATATGAGGAATTCAGATCCATTTTTCAGCCTCGCTTAACAGAGTGTGCAAATTCAGTCTTTAAGTCCCTTCTCATGTTCCTTTGGTTCTAGTCCAAAGAATAGGGATTACGGGCACCTCCAGATGTTCCAGGGTTGAAGTTCAGCAACATCTGAAGGGCTTTCTTGGATTTGGCATTTCATATTTGGAAAAACAGGCCCTTTCCCTTCCATCCCCCAACCTTCCTCCAGAAGTGATGCTATGCTCGCATTGATAAGTGTCTGTTGCCCTACAGCTGACTTTTACCCAAAAAACGGATCGGAAAGTCATTGTCTTGGGTTCCGACCAGTCGGACTCATCTTCCTGTGTCTTCTCCGTCTGCAGTTCAGTGAAGGTAGGTTCTGTCTCTTTGGCCTGGGTTAATTTTCAGCGCTGTCCTTTTACATGTGCTAAGATTTTTCAGAAAATTAAGATTTGTGTTTTTTCTCCCATTATATCTGTTGCTATTGAGAGAGGGAGCCTAGTCAACACTGATTTGACTTTTTGTTGCGGACAAACAGGGACATGGTGGCTCAATGGCTAAGACACTGACCTTGTCGATCAGAAAGGTTGGCAGTTCGGCGGTTCGAATCCCTAGCGCTGTGTAATGGAGTGAGCTCCCGTGACTTGTCCCAGTTTCTGCCAACCTAGCAGTTTGAAAGCACGTAAAAATGCAAGTAGAAAAATAGGGACCACCTTTGGTGGGAAGGAAACAGATTTCCATGTGCGTTTAGTCATGCCGGCCACATGACCATGGAGACGGATGGATTTTTGCTATTCAGGAAATAAAAAATATAAAATAAAAAGCAACATATACTGTATGTATATATTATGGCTATATTTGGACAATTCTTAGGCCTTGGGAAAAGGTTGAATTGACCCCAGATTACCAACATTTGCTGGGAATATTTCAGAAGAGAATTTTTTACAATATCTAATAACAGAATATAAACAAGAATTTTATTTTTTGAGGTTTCCATTCTAGCTGCTGACTTCTGTTACTAAAAACAACGGAAACGATCCTTACATTGATTTGTGTTGCCATTAAAAATAATTTTTATGGGATGTGAATGTTATTCAATGGACTTTCTGCCTCTTTCCTCTCCAAATCTTTTTAAAAAACTCACTGTAAAACAGCTGAAAAAAGTAACATGTAATCTTAGGAGAATGATCTTAAAATGATTAATGCTTCTGGACCAAAGATGCTAAACAGGAAGAATAAGATTAACGAAGAAATCCCCCAAAATTTTAGCATGACTAAGGACCAAAGTTGCATTGCTTTACTGTGCATAAAGAAAAAGCAGTCTTAAAGGGATGAAGCAATAATTTCTATAGAATAGTGTTTTTTCAAATTTGCAGGAACTGGTTGTAGGAACTGGGTATGCCTAGCTTAATGAAAAGAAGGAGTATGGGAGACATATGCTTCAATATCTCAGGGGCTGCCACAAAGAAGAGGGAGTCAAGCTATTCTCCAAAGCTCCTGAGGATAGGACAAGAAGCAGTGGAGGGAAACTCATCAAGGAGAGAAGCAACTTAAAACTAAGGATAAATTTCCTGACAGTTAGAACAATTAATCAGTGGAACAGAAGTTGCCTCCAGAAGCTGTGAATGCTCCAACACTGGAGGTTTTTAAGAAGAGATTGGATAACTATTTGTCTGAAATGGTGTAGGGTTTCCTGCCTAAGCAGGGGGTTGGACTAGAAGACCTCCAAGATCTCTTCTAACTCTGTTATTCTTTTCTTAACCTTGGCCACTTTAAGATATACGGATGTCAACTCCCAGGATTCACCCAGCCCGCAGCCCAACATAGCATCACAGATTATCCTAATTAGCTGGCCTGGGGTGAAGTAGATGTGTGAGACAAGCTAGGATTTTGAAGCAGATCAGGATTCTGTTTCTTTGAGATGCATCCAGAATTCAACTAATCAGCGAGTTCAGGAACAGATCGAGAGAAGATCAAAGAACCACAAAAGATGCAGAAACAAATTGCATCCTNAAGTTGCCAAAAGTTGGGAAACACTGATCTAAGGGACCAGGAGAAAGGATGCATTGACGTGTGATTTCCAAATCACCTTCTTAATAGATTTGGCTCCAAATAGGTTCACCAGGGGGATAGAGAATGGGGTAAATGTGGCCAGTAGGTCTTTAATTGACCTGTTTAAACTTACTGGGTGAATATAATCAGGGATGGGCTTCAAAAATGTTAACAACGGGTTCTCTCTCTCGTTGCCGGGTGGGCGTAGCCATGTAGGCGTGGCCTGCACCACAGTGGTGGAGGCGTTTTCACCCTCCCTGGGCTCCGGAGGTTCTCTGGAGTTCTTCCAGAACTTCTGGGACACCAGTTTTTCACCCTTTCTGGCAGGGGTGGGTTCCTGCCACCATTACTACCAGTTTGGCGCACGTGTGCATTTGCGCTTAAAACAGTCTGCGCAGGGGGGAAATTACATTTTTTTTCCAATGAAGATTGTTCTGTGCATGTGCAGGACAGAAAATCAAGATGGTGCCACCGAGGATAGAAGTGGTACGGTCGTGCGTCTGCCGGAGTTACTACCTATTAGGCTGCACCGTACCGTACCGGTAGAAACCCGCCTCTGCTCCCCGGGCTCTGGAGGCTTTTCTCGAGCTTCCAAGAGGACAAAAACAGCCTCCCCTGGACTCTGGAGGCTCCCTGGAAGCCAGTAGGACCCATTTCTGGCCTTGCGGAGTCTCCAGGAAGTCTGTTTTTTAACCCGAGACCTCCACATGGGTCCTTCACCCATGTGTGGCTGCGTGGAGACTCCTGGGAGGGGAGGGGGTGGGCGTGGCCAGCCAGGAATGGGATTTGGGGGTTCGCCGAACTGTGCAGAATCTTCACTAGAGCAGCACACCCCTGAATATAACCACTGAATTGAAGGCAAGATTAGAACAATTAATCCAGCCATTTCTCATTTTATCCATCGGGCCTTCGTTTTCCGTCCTTCCCAACTTGCTAACCTGGACCTGTGGTTTTATTTTTAAATCCCCCTGCAGACAAAGAAGAGACCAAGCTTAAGGGTGTGATCTATTTCCAGGCCATTGAAGAGGTTTACTGCGACCATCTCCGGAGTGCTTTCAAGGTAACAAGAGTAGAAATTTGCTGAAAGTCCCTTTCTTAATTCACGTAGACCTGGGAGGGGCTGTGGGATCCAAACCGATTTGAGCCGTCAGAATTTTGGGTGACCAAGCCTCCCTTCCCAGAATTGCTCCACAAAAATTGCTTTTATTTTATTACTCTATGGAAGCATCCGAAATGATATTTCCCCAGAAACCTTGGAATAGATTTCTACAAAATTGAGCTGCAGGCTTAAAATTTAAAAATTCTGCTCTAGGCTGATTTTACAATGGCTTGCTTGGGCTGCGGACTTCAATTCTGTCTCTCTCTCTATTGATAGATGATGATATATATTTGTAGTATGAAGTTTTCATTGGGACACAGTGGCTCAGTGGCTAAGATGCTGAGCTTGTCGATCAGAAGGCCGGCGGTTCAACGGTTTGAATCCCTAGGGCTGCATAATGGAGTGAGCTCCCGTTACTTGTCCCAGCTGCTGCCAACCTAAGCAGTTCGAAAGCATGTAAAAATGCAAGTAGAAAAAATAGGAACCACCTTTGGTGGGAAGGTAACAGCATTCCGCGGGCCTTTCGACGTTTAGTCATGCTGGCCACATGACCACAGAGACGTCTTCGGACAGCGCNGCCGGTGAGATTTGAACAGCCGAACTGCTGAACTGCAGTCAGCTGAAGTAGCCTGCAGTGCTGCATTTAACCACTGCGCCACCTCGGCTCCTAAAGGCCTGGTTACTCAACCAAACTGCTCCTGAAGGAGACTCCCTTTATATTTTTTGCTTTCCCTTCTCAGGGTTCGATTGGACTGCAACGGACCGCCAGTCTACCTCGCAGGAGTAGGGATCGCCTCCCAGCCCGCGCTCCTCAACGTCCCGTTTCAATGCATGGTATGGGTTCAGTGGGTGGGCTGGGGGTGGGTGGACCACGTGGGAACCACGTATATTAGTGGAATGCCCTCTCTTGGTACCCACTGACCATCAACAAGAAAAATAAGACATTTTCTTGTAAAGAAGAATGGTTGAAAACTCACAAGGTAGCCAAGTTTCTCAAGATCTCTTGAGTTTTTACACGAGAACTTGTTCCATTGTTAAATTGGATATCTTGGTCTGGAATTCCAAGGGAGGGAGGGAAGGAGGGAGAGAAAGAGAGAGAGAGAGGGAGAAAAGGAAGGAAGGCAGGAAGGCAGGAAGGCAGGAAGGTAGGAAGGCAGGAAGGAAGGAAGGAAGGAAGGAAGGAAGGAAGGAAGGAAGGAAAGAAAGAAAGAAGGAAGACTAGGAAAAAAGGATGCATGATGCTATTGGTTCCATGCAACCATCAATATTAAGTGAGGTACCACAGAATTCTTTGTAGTGTTGAATATTCTTCCTTGTCATCACTGAATGAGTGTTTTGGCAAGCAAAGGTGTTTGACCATTCAGATACAGTCCTAACAAGGTCAGTAGGCCAGTTGTGAAATTTTAACCTTAAAGTAGCAACTGGACCAAAATGAAGTTGATTTTAAGATGTCTTCTGAAGCGATCTTGATTTTGCATCTGCTTATCTCTCCCAGGTGCTCTGGATCCCAGCCTTCTGGTAGCTCAACTCTCCAGTGGAAGCAACGGTCATTATCTGGGGAGTCCAAACCTCCAATTCTCACGTTACAACAAACCCCTCTACCAACTGCTGGGTGGCCAGGCAACTACCAGGCAGGTGGGAGGAACCTCTCAAGGAGCTTACAGGTTGGCACACAATCCCATTCTCGTCTCATTGATGTTCTCCTTCTTTAATTCCAGACTGCTTCACTAAAGATCTGGTTAACTTTGTTCTTTGTAGTCTTCTCCAGTCAAACTAAATTGGCCCTCCCCCAAATGTCATTCTGTCCACACCTTCCAAGGAATCCATGTTCCTTGGAAGGAATCCATGCTCCTATGAATGATGAGATAAGCTCAGGGTGTAAGACTGATAAGATGAGGGCCACCCTACTGGAAAAAGTAATATTGTCTTTCCTCTCACCCCCCAAATGTTATCTTCTCACTTTGACTTTAACTAGCTCGTTCTAGTTCTAGTCTAGGACTAGAGGTATTTAGACAGAGTCCAGCTGATCATCTCTGAGGGATGTCAATGAAGATTCTCCGTCATCCAGGTAGAAATGTCTTGAAGTTGAGCCATGGCAGCTTTCTTGTTGGCTTGAGATGTTTTGCTCCTGGTGTAGGAATCTCCCTAGAATTTTAGAATTTGGCACATTCCAATGACTCTCTGCCTACTCAGATTCCTCTAACCAACTTGCTCAGTCTGAAGAAGCTGCTTGGATGGGCAGAAAAACACCTCAAACTTACAAGAAGCTAAGTCCAGTTGCCATGACTCAACTTCCAGAAAACTCTCAGGGATGCTACAGGTATAAAGTTCTTCCACTGAGTGATCAAATGGATTAAATTCCAAGATCACTTCCTATCTTAAAATGATATGGTTTGATGAATCAAAGATTTCCTATAGTGGGCCTGGTTCCTTTCCATTGGCATGGCCGTACATCTGGATTGATTGGCATTAACTGGGTATTTCTCCTGACAGTCTTGAAAACTGTGTCACCAAACTGGCAGAGATGGAACGCCGGGTGCGGGAAGCTATGGCTGAACGAGAACGATTGCTGCAAGAAAGGGTAAGAGATTGACTGAGCAGACTCAAGTCCTGGACCATAGTCAAGTTTTCTCCATCCATCCATCCATCCATCCATCCAGATTCTCAATCATCCAGGTCAAAAACAAAAAAGCCCAGTTGCCTTTTGAAAAGCACATTTGAAAGTTCTTTCATCCACCCATCCATCCATCCATCCATCCATCCATCCATCCATCCATCCATCCATCCATCCATCCATCCATCTATGGAGATTCTCAATCATCTAGGTCAAAATTGAGATATTCCAGTTGCCTTTTGAAAAGTACCTTTGGGACATTCATTGGTTAGTTGGTTGGTTGGTTGGTTGGTTGGTTGGTTGGTTGGTTGGTTGGTTGGTTGGTTGGTTGGTTGGTTGGTTGGTTGGTTGGTTGATCAATCGATTCATCCATCCATCCATCCATCCATCCATCCATCCATCCATCCATCCATCCATCCATCCATCCATCCATCCATCCATCCATTCAATTTCTATAGTTGCCCATCTTAATCCAGGACTCTGGGCAGCTTACAATTAATAATTAATAATTACAATAATTATTTATTTGACTCTGTGGTTCCCCTGAAAGGATCTTGGGGATTCCCAGAGTACACTGAGAAACCCTGGTCTAGATATCTATGGGGATTCCCCCACGTCATGGTTGTCCCAAAGGTGCTTTTCAAAGAAACAAAAAAGTTCAGTTGCCTTTTGAAAAGTACCTTTGGTTGGTTGGTTCATTCATTCATTCATTCATTCATTCANAGTCCAAAAGAGAGAAGTTCTAGCTAGAGAGAAATTCTCCGAGGATGGACTCCAGCACGAGTCCAAAAGACAGAAGTTCTAGCAAGAGAGAAGTTCCCCATTTGCAACCTTCACTGCTGGCTCTCAACAAATAAAGTCAATGGGAAATAAAGTCAATGGGAAGCCAGTAGAATTTCTTTAGTTCTAGCTAGAGAGAAGTTATCTGAAGATGGGCTCCAGCACGAATCCAAAAGCTCGGAAGACAAAACCTCTGGTCCTGGTGACCAACCCAGATTGGATCCTGCATCATTTTCTTGAGAAAAACGTATATTCGCCTTCATCCGGGATAGATGTTATTGATAAACGAACATCCCAGGTTATCCGTCAAAATAACAGCAAATAATTCTGGAAACATTTTATTTTGATTTCAAACCTAGATCTGGTTGAACTGTAACTTGGTTATTTGAGAAAGCTGACTTTAAACTAAGCAACCAGATTATTAGAGGGTTTAAGCTTTAAATTCTTTGCTTCTTGAGGACATTCTGGAATTTTGTAGTATTCCAAATGAAAGCTGACTGTAGAAAACAAAGGATTTACTTTTATCTTATAAGAATCTTAAGTGGTCGGCAAGAATTGCTTTCACCTTGAGATGCCTTGGTTTTGTTGCGTACTGTGTTTTTTAGACAATACAAAAGTTTAAAAGTCCGTGGAAAAAGTAGGTGAATCACCCACGAAACATGTTGCAATGGGTTGGCAATTCCACAGTCGTATTTCCTTTTTTTCTTTCTTTCTTTCTTTCTTAACAGCACCTGTCACGTTTGAACAGGGGCTGTCTGTAGGGAGAATTACTATCTCTCTTGAAATCCTAGATTATTATTTTTTTCGTTCACCGAGTTTCTCTCCACCCATGCAGAAGACAGTGCAGAAGCTGGAAGGCCAAGCCCTTTTAACACAAGAACAAATGATGGGTGTGTGCCAGAGATTTGCACAAGAGGAGGGAGAGGCTGTCAGCCATCTCAACGCGGTAAGGAATCCCTTTTCTTCTGCCAAGAAGCTTTGAGTATCCTGGTTTCCACACTCGGCTTTTTGCCTACCTGCTTTCTCACGCTTTCGGACGTTTGCAAGTGGTAGTTCTGAATCCCTCAACCAAGGACCGTCTTCTCTTCCTAATCTGTGGTGAGATCGCAAGGGGGATGTTTCCCTGGGTTCCTGGATGTGGTTTGTTGGGGGAGAAAAGTCGTTCTTGAACTTGGATTAGATCTGTAATACTTTTCAAAAGGCTTGTTGGAAGATAGAATTACAATTCGAGATCAGACAGGGCTAGTGACTTTAGAAGATGCTAGCTCAGCTTTCTTGCCTTTGAAGAAGACAAATGTTTTAGAATAATGTTTTGATTCTTCCAAATGTTGGTTGACCTGTTGTTGTTAGTTGCGAAGTTGTGTCTAACACATCACAACCACATGGGCAACGTTCCTCCAGGCCTTCCTGTCCTCTACCATCCTCTGGAGTCCATTTAAGCTCACGCTGACTGCTTCGGTGACTCCATCCAGCCACCTCCTTCTCTCTCATCTCCTTCTTCTTTTGTCCTCAACCTTTCCCAGCATGAGGCTCTTCTCCAGGGTGTCCTTCCTTCTCATTAGGTGGGCAAAGTCTTTGAGTTTCCTCTTCAGGATCTGGCCTTCTAAAGAGCAGTCAGGATTGATCTCCTCTAGGACTGACTGGTTGGATCACCTTGCAGCCCAAGGGACTGGCAGGAGTCGTCTCCAGCACCAGAGTTCCAAGGCCTCCATTCTTTGGCGCTCAGCCTTCCTTATGGTCCAACTTTCACAGCCATGCAACGCAACTGGAAAAACCTATATTATACACACTTTTGTTGGCAGGCTGACCTAGTCATGGATTTAAAATCTGATGGAATGGACCGCTCTTGGTTCTTCCCAGCTGGGCATCTGAAATACAGATAGTCCCTCGACTTACAGCTATTCGTTTAGCCACTGTTTGAAGTTACAATCGCACTGGGACAAGGGAACTACAATTGCAGGTGGATCTTCTCCTATGACCATGATGGAACCCAACATTTCTGTGGCCAAGTGAGACATTTGTAAAGTGAATTCTGCCCCATTTTACAACCTTTCTTGGCTCAGTTGTTAAGTGAATCGCTGCAGTTGATAAGTTAGTAACCCATGTCAGAAGGGGATCATGTGACCCCAGGACACTGCAACCGTCATGAAGATGAGTCCAGTTGTCAAGCATCTGAATTACAATCATTATGAATTATGACCAGGAGGATGCTGCAGAGAACTGAACTGTGAAAAAATGGCCATGTCACTTTCTTCAGTGCCTCTGTAACTTTGAACGGACACTAAATGAATGATTGTAAGTCATTGTGGTCCTTGCCCTTACGACAGTCATAGCATCCACAGGGTCATGTGATTAAAATGTGAGTGTTTGGCAACCGGAAATTCTGGCCCCGATTGTGGTTTTAAGTGGAGAACTTACACATTCCACGAAAGAAGTGAACGAGTGTGGAGACAGTGGGACATTTTCACCTGAAGTTAATGAAAAGAACAGAATCTGCAGATGTGAGATCCTGTCTGAAACTCTTTGGTTGCAACATGCTCAGGATATGCAGATATTCCTTATTACTGTAAGTCCCAGGTGTTTACAACATCAGAAATAATTTACTATTAAGACACCCAATCCTGAACTTCAGATCTTTCCAAAGTCTCCTTGCCTATTTCACACTGTGAAATCCTAGAATTTTAGTGTGCCAAGTTTCCCTCCACTCATTCAAAAACTCTTCAGGAGTTGGAAACGTCTAATCTATTTAAAAAAAAAAAACTGGGTTTGAGTTTTTTGAGCGTAGGAAAATTTGAATTTTGGGATGGAATTTTACCCTTCGTCGTCTAAGTTGGTCTTTTTCAGACTTGACAACCTGAAGATGTGTAGACTTCAACCTGAAGATCAGGGGTGGTATTCACTTACTTTCCCTACCGCTTTGCAAATGTGAGCATGCACACATTCCGCGCATGTGCATTGATTGTGCATGCAGCTTGCACGCATGCACGCAGCTTGAAAATGTGCCTAAATAGGATGGCATAGAGCCGGGGCGGGTGGGCAGGCCCATCCGCGATTCCCACTACTGGTTTGGTTGAACCGGTCTGAACTGGCTGAATACTACCTCTGCTGAAGATGTGTTGACTTCAACACCCAGAATTCCAGTGGGTGGATTTCAACTCCCAGTATTTCCCAGCCAGCTGGGAGTTGGGAGTTCCCCACTCTGGAATTCTGGGAGTTGAAGTCCACACATCTTCAGCTTGAAGTCTACACATCTTCAAGTTGCCAAGTTTGAAAAACACGGGTGTAAGTCCTGACATTAGGAGGCAGCACAGGGCAGCTACTAGAGCAGGTTGAGACTTCTCCAAACATTATGAAATGTCTTTCCGATCTTGAAGAATGACTTGTCGCTTGTCTGCATTTAGGAGAAAAGCCGCCTCATGGATATGAGCCAGGAGTATTCAGCGAATGGGGAGGACCTGTCAGAGAATAAGGAGGGCGTGACCCAGGTAAGCCTCTCTAGGAAAAGCAGTGCTTTTCTATCTCCCTGTTCCTGGGGTCATCCAAGGCTGCATTCCACATTCAGAAGGACATTGCGGACTCTGCAAAAAAGCTCATGTCTGGATGAAGACCTTGTTCCCCTTTTTCACGGCTTTAATGAATCAAAGCAGATAGAAATTATAACAAATGCAATTTTTTNCGCACCGTCCTTAAAATCTGGCTGTCCCAGCAGGCCTGGGGCTAAAGACCCTAACCCCGCCCGAATGGTATGACTGTTGTGCTTTCTTTTAATAATGTATTGTCTTTATGTCTATAACTTGTTTGTCATCCCCTCCCCCCTGAATTGTGAGCCGCCCTGAGTCCCCTCAGGGAGAAGGGCGGCATAAAAATAAACTAATTCCAATTCCAATTCCAATCCTGGGGTAAAAATTGTTCAAATAATGCACTAAATCACAAACAAAAACCCTCCCACAGTTGAACTTAACTATGGTTTGGCAAGTTACATAACTACAGCTGCTCAAGTGTATTCTGCCAAACCATGCGATCTGGGCCCTTTCCCCATGAACAACAAGAAGCAATGGATGAAAACTAATCAGAGAAGAACCAACCTAGAACTGAAGAGAAATTTCCACCGGGGGAACAATTGATCATCAATTGGTGCTCCATCACTGAAATGGCATAGGGCAGCAATGGCGAACCTTTTTTGGCTCGCGTGCCATAAG